GCTGCCATACCAAATCACAACTCATCATAAGTGAGCTAACCGGTGAGCTTGATATAAAAATATAATCTAAAATTGACCGCCTTTACCATACCAATCCAGTCACCATGGAGTGGTAACCATGGCCTCCCCCCTCCCGCCACCCGAGCTGCTCCTCGTGGTGGTCCCTGCCATCCATAATGTCCCAGAGGTCCGGCTGGTCGGTCCTGGGTACTCAGACGTATCCAAATGGTTGTGGGTGGCTGCCACCGGTTCTGGTACTTGCCTCCACGCAGCAAAAAAATGGGACCCCACATTTGGCCGATTTGTTTATCGAGTATTGTTTCTCAAGCACAGTAGGCTTGTGGTGGTGGTGGTGGTGGTGGTGGTGGTGGTGGTGGTGGCGCCAGAGGTGGTCATGACAATCACGATGGCAACCACAATGATGACGATGATGATGACGATAAATATGAAACTGACAATGACGATGATGATGATGATGATGATGATGATGATGATGATGATGATCGCCAAAAGATTGGGCCCTCGCCAGCTTTAGTTAGGGAGCATATGGCAATTCACGGCTGGGCCTTGAGCGTCTTTGGGGCCTGGGTGGCTTGCATTGTCGCATTGAGGTTTTCGCTTGCGGATAGGGGTCCCTACATTTCCCAGTTTAGACAACACCATAATTTACCTCCAAGAATGCTGGTAAAATCTCTACATATTGCTCAAGTTACTGGTCAGGCGGGCAACTAGCCAAGAACCCGAGTCAATTTCTTAAGTCGCAAGAACGCGTGGAAAAATGTGTTTATTTCCGGCCAGCAAGCTCCACGCAACATTCGGGACACAAAGGTGAGTATATAATGTGATTTCAGAAACTGACTCGCCCCACTAAACAGCGTGGACATATTTTTGGCTAATATACACTGAGGGTTCTGGCAACTGGTTTGGACAGCGTTGGTCTAAAGCACCTCAAGCCACTGTGGGCTGCGGGGAGGGGGTGTGGGTTGATTTGCGATCTTGAACACCTCCGTCAGTCGGCCTACCTTTTCCCGTAACTTTTCCCTGAGAACCTCCCAGCTAGTGGCTGACCCTGGCTGACAAAGTGTATTTCTCAAAGGGAAATGCACGAAGTGTCCGACAAGGGACTAAATGATTCCCTTTGCCGGAGATTCAAGCTCAGCTGCTCTTGCACCAGGCTGCTGTCTCCGCCAAGTCGTGGATGACCCCAAGTCACAACAGCCCCAGATTCAAGAATGGCAGCAAAAGCACCCTCAGTTGCTTGGATGTGGCGGACGTTCCTCAGCTGCTCTTGCACCTGGCTGCTGTCTCTGCCTGATTCTGCACGACCCCAGGTCACTACACGCCCAGATTCAAGAATGGCGGCAAAAGTACCAAAAGCTGCCTGGATGTGCTGGACATTCCTTAGCTGCTCTTGCACCTGGCTGCTGTCTCCCCCGGAGTCTGCATGACCCCAGGTCACAACAGCCCCAGATGCAAGAACGGCGGCAAAAGCGCCACAGTTTGCCTGGATGTGTTGGACGTTTCTCAGCTGCTCTTGCACCTGGCTACTGTCTCCGCCGTAAACTGGATCACCCCACGTCACAACAGCCCCATAATCAAGAATGGCCGCAAAAGCACCCACAGTTGCTTGGATGTGGCGGACATTCCTCAACTGCTCTTGCACCTGGCTGCTATCTCCGCCTGATTCTGCACGACCCCAGGTCACTACAGCCCCAGATTCAAGAATGGCAGCAAAAGCACCCTCAGTTGCTTGGATGTGCTGGACCTTCCGCAGCTGTGCTTGCACCTCGCTGCTGTTGCCCGCTTGTGAACGACCCCAGGTCACTACAGCCCCAGATTCAAGAATGGCGGCAAAAGCATACTTAATCGCTTGGATTTGCTGGACGTTTCTGAGCTGCTCTTGCACCTGGCTGCTGTCTCCGCCCCATTCTGGATCACCCCAGGTCACAACGGCCCCAGCTTCAAGAACGGCAGCAAACGCATACTTTGTTGCTTGGATTTGCTGGACATTCCTTAGCTGCTCTTGCACCTGGCTGCTGTCTCCACCGAAGTCTGGATCACCCCAGGTCACAACAGCCCCAGATTCAAGGATGGCTGCAAAAGCACTGCCAGTTGCTTGGATATGCTGGACGTTCCGCAGCTGTTCTTGCACCTCGCTGCTGTCTCCGCCGCGCTGTGCGCGACCCCAGGTCACAACAGCACCGGATTCAAGAATGGCGGCAAAAGCACCACCGAGATTTGCTTGGATGTGCTGGACGTTTCGCAGCTGCTTTTGAACCTGGCTGCTGTCTCCGCCGTATTTTGGATGGCCCCAGGTCACAACCTCGTCGCCGTGCCCATGAAAAGCAAACGCCTGATCAGTGGCAGCCAGTTTGCCAAGGTACACAACCGCAGCCACCACGTCCCCATCTCGCAACCCGGCCTCACTCAGCGTGGCCGTCATATTGAGCTGCCGGCCTTTTGCAGTGAGCTTCAAGCACCGCTGGAAATGCTGCTGCGCTGCAGCCTTCAGCTGTCTGATGAGCGTCTCCGGTGAGACTTCTATGGAGCAACCATCTCCGCTGGGCAAGTGAACATGCACCTTCATGGCGCGGAAAATAATTCTGTGTGCATTCGAGTTGCCAGACACGTTTGAGACACACTAACCCAAACACATGCCAGGGCACAAAGGAAGATCGTTGAACCGTTGCCAGCTTTACCGGAATCACAACGTGCTACTAAAATGAGAATTCGGGAGCTTGGGCGGACAGGCTCGCAGCAGGATGGATTCATCGTGACTCTAAACATGGCCGTTTTTGGGATCCCCTTCTGTTTGTCCTTGACGTTTGTAGGTCAGTCGACCTGATGTTTTTCTGTGTGCGGGGCGTACAACATGACCAAATTGATCAGTTCGAGCATTGACAAGCCATTCGGGAGAGGCATGGCAGTTTGAACATTACTGCCCTAGCTTGGAACAGAAGAAACCGCAGAAAGACTCGTTGATGGCTTTTAGCGGAACCTGGCTAGGGTTTCATGCTAGATTTGGATGAAGGTTAGGCTTTCCGAGCGCGGTGGCAGTCCCGCGGCTTTGGGTGACTCCATACCATGGCGTTGTTGTACAGCGGGGTCCCTCAATCAACCAAAAGAAGCGTCTCCTTTTTTTCCATGGACAATGGGTACCGACTGGATAAAGTGTGTTGCTTTTGACTTGTTTACCCCTGGGGGGTAAATAATGGTAAATACCACGGTTTGAAACTGCTTGTGGTGCAAACTGTTTTAAACTCGTACATCCGGGCCTTGTGCCACAAAAAAAGCTATTCATATCAAGGTTGTGCGTATTGCTTCTTCCCCATGCTTCCCCGTTTGCTTGGCACGGAATGACTGCAACAGAGATTAGCACCCACTTCATCTGAGTTCCGCGACCGCCTGTGGCGATCGTGACGACTGCAATTTTCCAAGTGCGGCGGCAACCAAAGGATCCCAAACTTGTCGTTTCCCACTTCCATGGGGGTATGAAGCGAAACAGCGGAAGCCCAGCCTCAGGCAGACTTTGCCGCCATAGGCCTCCCGCTGCGGCGCTGAATAAACGATCAAAATGAAAACAGGTACTTCAGGAATCTGTCTTTTCTGGAATCCGACCAAGCCACGCATTCCAGGAATCAGTTGTGGTTTTTCAAAGCATGGCCCAAGACCCAGTTCAACTGGCTTCTGTAAAGACCGATGGCGGAAAGAAATGAAAACCAAACCTCAAGAAGCATCAAGAACAGCATGACTGCTAAGACGCCTGGGTGTGTGTGTGTGTGTTCTACATACATTATCCGGGTTTACTGCGAGTCAGGCTTTGATTATGTTAGACCCCCAATTGGAATTGGGTCCTCCATTGTAGCAAGGTGTTGTCCTAATTCAGAATCCTGTGACTGTTTTGGGGTCCTCTATTGTGGCAAGTTGTTTGCCGGAAAACATGCCCGAAGCAAATCCAGACAAACAAGACTGGCCAAACAAATCAAGCAAAACAACGGGCAAACAAACCCGGGCAAACAAGAGGAAATCCTTTTTTTTTGGAGTGGTCACCAAACCATCAAACTTAAGATAACCTCTTATTTGAAAATAAAAGGTACGGGCAAGCATTTACACAAAGGGGGTGCCCACAAGAGGCCCTGATCCTCTTTAGTGCGACTGTTTGGGGTCTTTGGTGTCCAACTTTTTGTTGGGTGCTGAAATGCCTAACTTTAAAGCCTTAGCCTTTTACTTTTCAAGGATGGCTCACCTAACCAAATTCTTCCCAGCTCAAAGTGTAAAGGCCTTGGATCTAGGAAATCCATTCTGCAACTGGTCCCCCAAACCATCAAATTTAAGATAACTTCCAAACACAAAAAGTGCGGGCAAACACTCGCAGGGGGTTGCCCGAGGCCCTGATCCTCTTTAATACGACTGTGTTGGAGTCCCCTTCAGTGTCCAATTTGTTTGCGGGTTGCTGAGAAAAAAACGGGCCCTTCCCAGCTAAATTAGAATTGGCAAATTAGAATTGGCAATGCCTATAGTACTAGCAAGTCCCACCCAGACCCCAGCATTTTCGCTAAAGAGGGGGAACCACAAAGAGGGTCGAACATTATTATTATCTTTTGGTATTTGCGGATTTGCGGCCAGCTAGCGGCTGCACGTAACGACACTGCGTAACTTGGAAGACTCTAGCCTCTTGGTTTGGGAAATCAATCGTGCCGAAATGGTTTCCTCTTGGGGAGATTCAGTAAATTCATAATTAGCGATTTAGCACTCTGCAAGGAACACATGAGTGTGCACCTGTTGGGTGCCTGGATGTTGGTCTCCAGGTCATAGAGAAATCTCATGGCTTCGCGTTTCTTCTCTGAGCGCCTCAGTGGTGAAGGCCTGAATTTGCGCTAAACTCATCCTGCCCCTACCACCAAACAACACCCTATAACCCCTGCAATGCTGGTCTATTTTGGTCTTTTCGTCTTCCCAAGGGGTAGTGTTTTTGAAATATTGATATTGAGCCGCACCATATGCAAGCCCTGGCAAGTAAGGTCGATGGGCGAGAAAAAAACGGTCGGAACTGAGTGGAACTTGGTAGCAGTGCCGCCTGCAGCGGAAGTTTGCAGTCATTTCAGCCAGGACATGTGAACCACCTGGGTATCATATATATATATATGTATTTGCATGTAGGATTCTTGGACCAGTCAGGAAGCCCAAGCACCTTCAGTGCGGTTGAGCTGGTTTCAAGGTGCGCCTGTTATATTTGCCCAGAACCTTTGATGCTGTTCGAGCTAGGAGCTTTGATGCATCATGAATGTTTAGGTGAACCCTGCACCACGAGCGATCATCACATCTGAGGCGGAATTCCACTTCGATCACTGCTGGCCCAATGTTCGCTTGTGAAAATTAGTACTGGCCCGTTCTGATGGCAAACAAATGCTACGTTGTGTTTCATGCGGCTGCAGCCGTTTGAACTAATTCACAGCTTGGAGGCTTGCAAAACCCTTAAAACTGCAGGACAGGGACCTTCATTGGTCTCGTTTACCCTTTTCCGGGCTGCTGAATTAGACAACATCTGCAAACAGAATTGCTCGGAATTGCTGCAATTCTTTCCGGAATCAGCCTTTGCTGCCAGGTCTCCCGCGTTTGCTTTTCGGACTGAGGGGTCTTGCTTCGCTTCATTTCTTCCCCAAACCTGGGGCCTTGCCCCCTACTAGTTAAAGTTGAGTTTCTTCTCCGCCTTGGGTTAAGTATTGCCCCAGGATTCCCTTGCTTTCTCACTCTAAAGGGGTGTTCCCGTTGCTGTCGCATCCCACAAACGGGGTGCTCCCGAGACCCGCCAAGAGTGGAATGTTAGCTGGACAAGGAGAATGTGGTTTCGCGGTTTCACGGTTTAGCCATATTCCTCAGGGGTCTTCAAAAACTCCTGCAGAAACCGTGCCGTTTTTCTCATGCAGCTAAGAGGTGGGGATCACCTGGGCCCCCCTGAAATCTGCCTCTGTCTGTGTGCCTTTCCCTTCGCACCCTTTTGGAGTTCCCAAAAGTCGTGGGTCAAAAGGCCTCTAACAAAAAAACAGCACCCGTCACTCAGCTCCGTACTTCTTGAAGAGGCCCAGGAGAAAATGCTCTGCCTTGCCCGCGCACCGCTCCCAGCTGAGTGAGGTTCGACTGAATCTGTTTCCGGTCTCAGGCATGTCCTGAAATTGAAAACTGTTCATTTGGACGTTGGGGCAGAAACTGCACAGGAACCCATTGTTTGGAGCCAATAATTCTCAACGTCCGCTAGTTTTGGAAATGAACCATTTCTTCCTGAGCTTTCAAAGGAATGGCATGGCTGCCACACAAGCAAAGGTGCGACACGAAAAGCAAACTGGCCGAGAACCACCTTTCACAGAGAGTCGAGAATTGCCCTTCCACTTCTGTGACCACTGGGCGGCTTTCCCATCATACCAAACTGAATGCATTCGCATGGAATCAAAAGGTAAATCAACCGTTCGGAAACTTGACTAAGACTAGGTGAATCAAAAGGCAAATTCGGGTCGTGGGCCCATAACGGACACGGGAAAATGAGTGAGTCCCCTGGCTCGAGCCTCCGGCGCGATCGGCTCCCTCCCAAGCGCTGAGCTTCCGGCATTGGCGGCAGGCTCCCATGCCATAAGGCGACGCGGCTCCCCGCCTCTTCCAGACTCCAAACCCCAACTGAGGCAAGTGGTTTGTCAACAAACATTACAGATTGCTCATGTTCAGCTATGCTAGCATAGTGCTCGCAAACAGGAAGTAAGGTCGGAAACGAGAAGGGTTGCGTCGAATCCTCACGTTGCCTGTGATTTGGTTGGCCCTTCTCCCCCTGCCCCGCCGCACGTGTTGGCGAGCGGCGTTCTCTTACTTAATTACAGCGAAGGGTCACATGGGCGTGATGCACATGCTTCGCCGAGGTCGTTTCAAGCTGCAGAGTGGCTAACCCGAGAAAAATACTTCAAGCGGCAGTGTGCCTAACCCATCCACAATCACCCCTTCCTTCCGTCCCAGATAAGCCCAGCCCCCACCCGACAGGGGGCGCTCCCGTGGCTGCTTGACTTTGGCTTCTCCCGTCTAGCCCTCCCTATCCAAAGGAAGCCCGAGGAACCCTACTTTTTCCAATCCATTTTGCCTTGATTCCGCCCAAACAACCAGTTGAGGTTGCGGGTCCATACAGGTAAGCATGGATGGAATTCCGCAGCGAAATTGCGACTGTTTTCTCCGGCGCTGCCCGTAATTCGCAGCTCTGGCCAGCCCCTGCTCCGCAGTGGGCAAAAAGAAAAAAACGGACCTAGGATTAGTGTCGCCACGTCGTGCTCCAGTTGCCAATGTGTGCAAAACATGACAAAACTACCAAGTTGTTGTTTGCATCTGGTCAACTCCTTCACTACATGGATTGCATGTCTTTGCCTCTTAATGTGGAGACCACATAAATTGGTGTTGCCTTGTGTACACAGCCTCAAAAAAAAGCATAGCTGGATGGAACCTGACCATGGTTGCCTCGGGAATCTGTTCGGTCTCCTCGGGTCTTAGCTGTCCTGCGCATCCAACCACGAAAGCAGTAGAGAAGGGTCTGTCATTCTGGGGGCACACCTTCATTGGAATGGCGCTACTTAGGGTCTGGGGATTGTTCAATCTCCCCTTGTCTTCAGCGAACCTCGAGCCACCATTGGCATATGGGCGGCATCCTGCTGTAACTCCCCTCAGGGGAGTCACACAAAGGCTAAGCCTCAATTATATGGACGTCCAGAGCGCCGAAACCTCCGTCGGAAGCGAAGAATCAAAACAGAAAACAAAGGACTGCGGTGGGTAACTTCCAATTCTGGAGAACATGGATGCGCGGAATCGGAACCAACACAACAAAAACAACATGTTGGCTCATGCCACCTTTCCCACGTCAACTCTGATGGATAAGATTCGCACGTCGAGAAGCGTTGCATGTACGCACCTTCACGAGGATTCGGCAGATGCCCGGTGGAAAGCAAGGAAAGACGGAGCCTCTTGCAGTCCTGGTGCGAGAGAACGCGCTCGGCACCTGGACATTTGCATCTTATAAGCGCCTGGCTGAGAAAGGGTCTGCAATCTACTCCTGTTCACTGAAGCATTGGGTGTTGAATAGAGGGCCTGGGGTCAACACAGTGATCCCCTTGTGGTTTCTTTGTAGGGCAAACCAAGCACGGGCTACTTAGCAAACGGATGGCTACACTGGTCATGTGGACATGAAAGTACTTCGAAAATTGGTCCGAATCCTTGGCAACTCTAAGCTTAAGCTGGTTGGGTCCTGCTTTTCGGCAGTATTGTTACACCTTTGGGATGGAGTACCCTGCCCACTTCTGGGTAGTGCTCAGCGTTGCTAACGCCGAGCTGAGGAAATAAATGTACCACGCCCAACACCCCGTGGGCCTTGGTTTATCAAGATAGTTGAAAAGGCGCAGAAGGCTCTCACAGTAATTCACAAGGCTAGAGGGTGCCAACACGGCCGTTTTCTGCCCAACTGACGCCAGGATGTTCTTTTAATAATGTGGCTTGGCCCAACCTGCCGCTTTCGCACAATAACCATACTATAGCTATGCTACATTTTAAGACATCGTCTGACGTTCGGATGGAAAATCATGATTCGGCCTTGCGAGAACCCACCGCCAGCACCTGGAATCCAGGCCACCCTGGATCTTCCTCGACTTGGACTAGCTGGGAGCAACCCCGCTCAATGTTTGTAAGTTCTATCATTAGCTCAGCTGCCTCAGCCTGGCAGGCGCTGGACGCTTTTCATCCAGCGCAGATGCGCACCGCGAATTTGAGCAAGAATCCGAGCGACCAAGTTGCTGCTGTGACTCTGACAAAGGCTAGAAGCAACACACACACACACAAAGAATAGCAGAACAATGGGTGACAGGAAATGGGAACCGACCCATAGACCTACAAAGGCTTAGACAAGACTGTGGCCTCAATTGAATCATTTCGTGGGTCATGGTACAGCAGCCCATGTCCAAGTGCAGGCTCTGTGTCTGCCATTGCCTCCTAAAACATGACACAACCAATACAATCAACTGGATGGGAGATCCCCAATCCTAAGATGCAGTGAGACTGCAATATATAATGTTGTGGTGGCATAAGGATTTTGTCTGTTAAACAACCCGGTCAACTAAACGAGATCTCGCATGGACTGCTCAGAGAAAAACAAACCGCTCGATTCTCGCCTGGCTTTGTCTCGTCTCTCTCACCTTGCAGTGAGAGAGCCCTTCTTGGTCTGGCATGACGGCTGTCGACTTCCAACGTCTCCCTTTTGGGACCGGGTGACAAGCAAACCGAAAGGAATCAACCACTTGCGGGTCCAGACTCTACGTGCGGAAGAAAACATACCTGGATCTCCCATTGTAACACACAAACATGTATTGCGTAAAGTTTGTGGTCGAGCCATCCTTTTCTTCGGGATGCTTCGAAAAGCGAGCGGTGTCTGAAAAACAGCGTGTTTTGTTTTGCAATCTGCCCGGAGGAAGAAGAGCAATTGCTACGTTGCAAAAACTCCTTACACAAAACAGTCCGCTCGCTTGCGGATATTTGCGCTCGTTTTGGGATATGTGCGCTCGTGTTGCACTTTTTTTTCTGCGCACTCCTTTCAGCGACGGATCATCTTGGAGGACCGATCAGCTCGGTTTTGGGAAAACCGTTCGAAGCAGGAAAAAGTGTTCGTTTACAATATTTCGGTGACGGCCTTGGCTTTGCACTTCGTTTGGTCTCAGGGCAGAAATTTGGATACTGAAGAACGCTCCAGGTATTTTGGGTTTGGAACCCAACCGCTGTGTTGGGCGCGCTAAATCCCATTTAGGAAACCAATACTTTTGCAGAGTTCAAATGCTCCCTTAGGAAGCCAACTATTTTGGGCGGTCCACACCCCACGTGAGGGAGTCACTCATACGGCATTGGGCTTGCCGACATAGTGGCATCATTGCCGCAATCATCCAAGTATCTCCGTGAATGACAACTTGGTGGCTTCTGATTCTGCCTCCCGTGC